AAAAATTATCTCTGTATCAATCAGATATAAGCTAGAGTCTGCTGTAGAAATTAACAACCCCCAACAGCAATGGTTTTATTTCTCACTCACACGATCTATTTCTACCTGTTTTCATGTTCTACCTCACACTGCCTGTCATTCTCACTATAAGACCTGTGCTGACAGGGTAGCCCACACTGTAGCAAAGGGAAAGAAAATGATTAATCATACATTGGCTCTTTTCTTTTAAATTTTTTGGGGGGGGAGGTAATTACGTTTATTTATTTTTAATGGAGGTTCTGGAGACTGAACTCAGGACCTTGTGCATGCTAAGCACACACTCTACCATTGAGTCATACCACCACCACCTCCGCCCATACACTGGCTTTTAAAACTCCTGCCCATGACATAGGTCATTTCTGCTCACATTTTATTGGCTAAAACCGGTCACATGACACACAACTTCACATGACACACAACTTCAAGGCAAGGATATGCAACCTTAGTACTTTTGGTGAACAACGCTAATGACTACTACTTTATACAAGACATTATCTGGAGTCAGATAGACCTAGGGTCAAATCCTAGTTTTGCCACTTAGAAGTATAATTTCTTCATCTATAAAATAAAAATAGTAACGATTACCTTATAGGATCATCCAAAAGATTAAATGGGATAAAGCAAGATCAGATACTTAGAAGAATGCCTGACCTTGACTCTTTAAAAAGCTTGGGGCGGCATTTCTCAAGCACTATTCCAGGTACCGACAGATAGTAACTAGGCACTAAATAACTTTTCTAATTTGTTGCTATTGTTATTAGAAATGCCTTTTGAGTTCCAACCAGGGACCCCAGGAATTTCACTTAACAGTCTCCAGATTCAGAAGAGACTTCTCCTTGTTCTCAAATCACCACTTTCCTTCTTATATGGTAATAGAAGCCCTGATTTTCATCTGGACACATGTCTCATGGAATTCAGGCTACATATGTCAGCTATCCATGCAGTTAAGATGACCACAGGTCCTAGTTCTGGCCACTGTGCTACAAGAGGAAGTAGCATGTGCAACTTACTAGAAACTTTCTTAAGTGTGCATCCTTTGTCTACTTCTTCATTCCTTCCTCTATCAGGCTGTCTGGAATATCAGTTCTACCTTGGACTCTGAGACCATGGCCATGCATGGCAGGGGCACAAACTAGGATCCTCATTTCCTGATGCTGTGGAGTGTCATACCAGCCCTGTACCATTCATTATGTGAATAATAATAAACGTTCATCTTATTTAATCCACTGTTATTTTGCACTTTGTGTTATTCAGAGCCAATCTTAATCCTAATTAATAAAAAACATAGCCTGTTAACTCTTTAAAAAGCAAGCTGCATGAAAGAATAATCTCTCTTGATGATACCCTACATCTTCCTAATAGAAGACACCACTGTAGGAAGCAGCCGAATACAGCGGAATGGAATTGAATCAAATGACCCAGTGTGGACTTCCACTTCTGGCCAACACGATGTACCAGGGACTAAATTCGCCCTGGTGCCTGAAACAACTGAAAAATTGGACAATCAGAGGAAACAACAGTTTTCAAGACAATGGATATCAAGTAATAAAGGACATGATTCCTGAGAAATAATGGAAACAAAGGAGGTGAGCCTTACCCTTGCCCTAGATTACTTCTTGGAGAAAGTTTCCAGGCCAAAGTACAAGGAGAAGGAGCCCAGGCAGAATCTGATGAGGTGTCCTTGAGAGGAGGGGAGAGAACTGCAAGCCCAACAAGGTCAGTGTGGCTAGAGTTTGGGGGCCAGAATACCACAGAGGAGAGTGTTGCTCGAAGAGAGGACCCCTGACACCTGCAGAGACCCCTTCTCAAATCTTCAAGTTCCCGTGTGCGAGCAAACGACCAGAGGCTGGGCAAAGAACCACCTGAAAGGGCTTAAAAGGGAACAATCCAGAGAGCTCACACGGGGCAGCGAATAGCACCTGCTCTCATCAGCCACTGTAAGAAACCTCCTAATTTACAGGGCATTGGGTAGAGTATGTACACTGAAGAGTCTGGCCTCAGGAGTAGGAAAACTGATCCCTAGATTAAATGCTGCTCTGGTCCAATCTAACAAAACTCAAGAGCAAGACCTTTCAAGGATCAAACTGTTTCCAAGTGACTTATCCCAGCAAAAAGCTCAAGAATATTTATAGGAACCCAAAAATATCCAGCACCCTACTGGCTAAAATTCACAACATCAGGCATCCAATCAAAAATTACCAGGCATGCAAAGATGAACTACTACTTTACTATTTTCAAAAACAATTTTCCTGGGGTTTTACTGGGTATCTTAAATTTTCCTCAAAAACAAAAACAAAAACAAATACAAAAACCCACCTACTCTAATTTTTATCATTTTGACCCTGTGTGTTAATCTCAAAATTCCTCATCAATATAACTGAATTGCTATCCCCCATATGAAATATTAACACTTCTAAGACAAACAACATAGTGGTTAAAACCTTTAACCTTGGTGATTAAGTGGTTAAAGCTTTAGAGACATGAAAAACAGGGTCTGAATTCTCTCATCTCTGTGTTCCTGAGCAAGCCACTGAACCTCTCTTTTAGTTTTCTTATCTACAAAATGGTTGCTTCACAGGGCTGCTGTAACAAATATACCAAAGCAAATAATAAATAGTAGCTATCATGTCATAATTATCACATTATCATAAGAAAAGTTTAGAAAAGCTACCACACACTCAGACATTTACTGAGCACCTATCATGCTAATAAATATGTAGGCACAAGGAAAAGAACGAAAAAAGGACACTGTTAAGAGGACTCAAAGTATATCTTACGCTGAACATGCATTTAAAAGTTCATTTCAAGTACAAACTTCATATTCTATTTCTTAATTTCTAAGTAGGGCAATTATTTTAAGTTCCTTCCATAAAAATTAAAGGATTTTTTCCCCTTTGAAAGGAAAAAAATAAGAAGTTGTCAGGTTCAACCAATTAGGGCATGCCTGAGAAATCCTTGGAATCTGAAAAGCACGGTAAAACTTTAATTTAAAAGCAACCTGCAATTAACATCACCTTTCAAAATTATTCTCAAATTAGCAGACTAAATTACATTCAGACATAAAATACATAAAACGGACCAATCTGTTATTATGATAATCCTTTCAGAAAGGCTGGGCTAACAGATGTAAGGAATTAAAATCAAATTCAAGATGTATTTCATTTGCTTATTCTACTTATGTGACAGATGGCTTAAATATTAACCCTACTAATAAAACGTTTGCATATTCATTGTGAATCTGATTGCCTTACCTCATAACTCCACAAATTCATTTTATTAATTTTACTATAAGGCTTCCCATTTCATTCAAGGTCTTCTAAACTCTTGTCTCGCAAAGGGTGGTCCTTGCACAAACAGCTCCAGCATTGCCTGGACGCCTGTCAGAACCACAGAACTCCACTGCCCACACCCAATCTACTAAGTCAGAATTTGCATTTTAAAAAAAAAAAAATCCCCAAGTGATTTCTGTGCACACTGAAGTCTGAGGAGCATAGCTCTCAACTGTTGATTTTTTCCACACTTTTTAGAAACAGTATTACAAAGTTTATTTGCTTCCAAATTGTTGTTAATTTATCTCCAGATCTTAACTTTTCATAACAATAATTCAGTTCAGACAAATAAATCAACATACATACACATTCTGTATTCTATGTATAAGATGTCTCAGACTTGACCATACCTTTCAACTAAGACTTCAAGTCTTAGAAGCCTCATTGTACTATTCATTTTTTTCTCAACATTTTTGCCTTAGCATGTAGCCATTGTGAGGAACGTCTTCTCTGTAATTAAACTACTATATAGAACTGGAAATCAGATTCTCCCCCATAATTTCAGGAAAGAGAAAAAAACTCAATATAGATTCAACCAAAGTTGAACTTGAAAGTGCCCTAGAGAAAAAAAGACCAGAGTGACTCTATTCACCACAATAATATATTTTTATGCTTTACCCAACATATTTCTACTGCAGGTACCACATATTTTTAAAATAAGAAATTCACAAGGGACTTAGGGCAGTTCTTTAGATGGCTCATCTTTTATTACTATTGCACAGTAGTCACAGTGCACATACAATAGAACAAATCTTGTTTTCTCTTTCGTTTATCCCCCCCTCCCCAAATGACAGACCTAGGCTGAAACTATCACAGCAGGTAGGGTGGTTCGGCACGAATTCAAAGGAAGGTACAAATGTTCAGTTTTCAAAAGCACTGCAAAAGCCAACCTCATCTCTTGTCGCTGTAGCCATGGCTGTATGCCAAAGATTTGAGAATTGCTGAAAAGTACCCTTCCTTATAAGCAATTATGAAGAGCTTTGCAAAGAGAAGGGGGAAAAGTGTAATAACAACTCCTTAGCATGGTCAACGTCCCTGGCCTCTGGGTTACAAGACAGGAGTCTAATAGTTACCCAGCTGCACCTGAGGCAATGCACCCAACGAAGATGCCTTAGGAGAAAGGGTTTAAAGGGTGTTAAGAGAAGGTATCAAGGAACCTGCTGGGTGGTTTCAAAAACTATGTCAAGAATCTCCAATTATCTTTTTTACAAGATTCTATTATAGATCCCATTTTGCATTTGCAGCCTATATAATTTCTCAAGATACGGTGTTCCACAAGAGTACAACGAAGTATTTAACGCATTTTTTATGGTCTTAGCTCTAATATTCTAGAATTTGGTGAACAACTCATTATGCCCCAACTCTACCCACAGCCACAGCCAAGTCTCCCGGAAGAACTGGCCGCGCACACCGGTTCCACTTCCTCACCGCCCACTCTTCGGCCCACCCCACCCGGCTTCCACCCGCTTCACTCACTGAAACTTCTCTTGGCAGAGACTGTAACGACCTTCACGTTGCTAATCCAACTGACACCCCTCATTCGTGCCTGCTCTTCACTAGAGACCGGCTGCAGTCTTCCCATCCTCCCTGAGGGGTGAGCACCCTGTGGCCCTTCCCACCCTTGGGCCTCACCTTCCATGTCGGGGAAGAGGCTGTCCCAGCTTCCAGGCCAGGCCCAGGCGGTTCTCCGGTGCCCGACGGCATGAAGCGGCCATACCGCTGGAGAGGCCACTGAGACGCGTCTCTTCCGAAGAGCCCGAGGCCCGCATGCTCTCTTCCCGCCTCCGCCATGTTGGGCGTCCAGGCTCGCGCAGCCGCGGCACCCGCCAATCAAGGCAGCTAACCAATCAGGAAGCGAGGTGACGCAAGGCCCACCCTCCCCCAGAGTGGGAGCCAATGGACAGGCGCTGGAGACGTGTGCGGGGC